CTCCGTAAATCATCAGTTTTGTATATTTTTGTAAAATTTGTCCGTATATTGAGGGATCAGGTGACACATTTTAAATGGCCATTATCTCTGTCAAAAAGACAGCTATCAAAAAGATCCGGATGGTGATAGTTAGTTTAAAGACAGGCCTACAAAGTTATCATAGTGACCTTCTAAAACTATCCTTTGCTGCCGTTCAGAAATGACAGTCCAAAGATTGAGAATTTTGGCCGATCATTAGTATTGTCGGACACCATGCTTTGAGAGCTTATAACTTTCTATGCACTCTTGCTAGAGCTACAAGTTTTGTCACGCAAATAAAGGATAACTATTGCTATAATACTTTGCAGTTTCATGAGATGGCAATGTATAGTTTTCCTAAAACAAGTGTCCGAAAATTAATGGTGTACGATCATTGATAATGTACTCTAGTACTTTACAGGTTGGATTTATGTATCATATGCATGCATGCATGAGTATACGCCCAAAATATACCGGCAATAAAGGGGTGTGGCCAAAATTGTGGCGCACTTCACATGCCATTTTTCTGCCTAACTGCTCTTTCAATATTGCCACCGTCAATGGCCTGTGGGGCCTTACCCACCCACTTATAAAATGAGAAAGTAAATTAAGTAATAATGATATTATTATTATTCAGTCCTATCTCTGTTTTTGTTCCTTTTGTCTCTCTCTCTCTCTATCTGTTTTTTCAGTGGTCTGTAAAATTTCAATGATGATAATATACTATGCTTGCTACCCTCACAATTATTGCACCTCTACACAATGATGGCTTCCATAATAGGTCCACATTGCTTGCAGGTGTATTGCATACTTTGCTATGAAACAAGCCTCTCTAGCTCCTGGAGAATTTCAGGTAATTTATCAAGAGGTGTATTAATTGTAACATAGTGGCTATAGGTCTGGTAACTGGACGTGTCTGGCAGAGCTATACATCCAGCAGTGGGCGTGTTCAGGGGCGTGACTTCTGGAGCACCTATGCCCCAGTATACTAATACACAAATTTATATACAGATATCAAGTATAAATACGACAATCAGCAACATTGATGCAGCAGGGTTGTGGTGGTGCAGTGGAGAGGTTGGTGTGGATTGCACGGATGTGGTCAGCGGTTCAAATCCGGTCAGGGCTACTGAGTAAAACTACCTTAGAGTGACTTTTAATTGCGGGTACTAAATTTTGCGATTTTAGCACAAGGTAGATTTTGCTGGTATTAAAAATTGCGATTAAGTAATTATTACTAATAGTTATATGGCATCATGATGTCATTATTAATAATTGCGCGTATTAATAATTGCGATTTTTAACCCAAACGCAAAATTCGCAATTAATAGTACCTGCATTTAAAGGTAACCTTAAGGTATGCTACAGTGTTCAATTTTTTTTCTTTTTTTAAATACCTTTTTTTCCCTTTTTTTGGCTTTTTAGGTCAAGAAATAAACGCCCTCTCGTACATCTTAGCCTCCGGGGTCGTAGGGTTGGGATTGGGGTTTAGTGTTTAGTTTTTAGAGCACCCTCTCGTACATCTTAGCCTCCAGGATTGTAGGGTTTTGGGATTAGGGTTTAGTGTTTCTTGATAAAAAGATAAAGTTCCATTTTGCACTATTGCTGGCGCATGCGCACAAGCTGTTTTATGGAGAAAAACGGACTGCCGGATCTATAGCTTTGCAAAATGCATCCAGTTACCGGATCTATAGCCACTGCCTAATTGTAATGGGTATGGGGACCGTATGGTAAATCATTTTAGACATTTTCTTAACCAATTAAGGGTCACACATGCATGATACATGTACATAATGCAGTGTGGTATATAATAAGTCACAGTACCTTTTACACGAGGCTCATAGTTGAGATAACCAGAGAGGAGGATAGAGACGAAAAGAAGGAAAACAATAAAAGACAAAACCAAAGACCGGCGGCCTTTCTTCTTTCTATTAGTGCTGCCGACGGTGCAATCGCCTCCCAAGGATTCACAGCGATTAGATGGTCTAGATCTACCAGAGCTGGCTTGACAATAGTTCCAAAGTCCAATACTCTGTCTCCACTGAGAGATATCAATCATTTCGAGGCTTGTTTTTCAGTGCTAGTTCACTTGTTTGCTAGGACTAGGTTGTCTGTTATTACACGAACGAACGGGGCCTAATAGGCGTGCCAGCATTTTACAATCTACCCGTAGATCTACATCCTTGAATTGGTAGAGTATAACTGAGAAGACGCTCATAATACCGTAGCTCTCCTACCTAAAGGAATGGCTGCTCGTGATAATTTTGTGAGTTACTATAAATCTGATTACAATGCATGCTAAAGTGATTCAGTGACAAAAAGTTTCATCAGTCATACCTACAATAGTGCTTGGTTTCAGGGTTTTTCTTTTGATGTTTGGTTGATGTGGCGTATCAGTATGCTACAATGCACCAAGAGGTGGCTCCAAATTCATAAGATAAATTTTTGAACAATTTAGCTTCCCAACCAAACAATCAACTGCAACGGTGAATATTAGACTTGTAGCCAAGGGCTCAGTCTCATTCGGTTCTCAGCATGATAAAAATGAACCACCTTTTTCTCAAACCTGGATACGGGCCTTCAGCCTAGTCTCTATCAGAACATGCTTCTTTTTGTATTTCTTCAGTACCATGCAGCCTATTAGACACATCAATAGGAGATTGCGGGATATGATAAGACTGGCTTCAGTATAACTATGAATTACACACGATGTTAAATAACGACCAAGCCAAACCAAACCCTATTGTTATTACATATCTTATGTATGATACTGTAGCTGCAAGGTAATTTTTGGAGGAGAGCATTTTGGCAACTGAATTCAAACTTGCGCCTCAGATTTGCCAAACTATTCATTAAGACGGAAATAGTATTAAGTAATTCACCAAGACTCTATCCCTCAATGTGACCAGCTATTTTTATTAGTGTTGTGGACATTGTTTGTATTTTTGTGCATGTATACTGTATAGTATCCAATTATGCTTTGAGTATTTTAATTTCTAATCTTGTTTACAAGTACTGGAATTTATAAATAATAACCTTTAAGATAAGGATACGACATATATGTACATGTAGTAGTGATTAATTATTACAACTATAACAACTGTTAATAGTACACTTACTACTGTAGGGGAAACAGTTGTATATTGCTGCTCATGATGGAAACATTAAAGCAATGAAGTCTGCCCTCTCCAATGGGGCAGACATTAACTGGGAAAACCCTGATGATGTAAGTGCATCCTTATTTGCCTGTTAGATCTGTAAATGTATGCATGTGCATGGTAGAAGTGTACAATTTACTAGTGTACATGATTCAATTTCAGCAAGAGTACATAATTTACAGTACTCTTGATTTCAGTCATTAGTACACTATAATTATTTATATTAGCAAGAGTATATTAGTTATTGGTTGAGAATACTGGGAAATTATAAGACCCATTATATGAAGGGTCTGGTATTTTATTTATCTTTTACTTTTCATTTGTTTTTTTATAGCTAAACTACACTCCATTGCATATTGCCGCTTGTTTTAACAAGCTTGAGGCAGATTCAGTGCAGTTTTTAATCAGAAATAACGCTAATATAGAGTCTAGAGATACTGTGAGTTGTATTATGATTCAGCACTTACGGTGGCTTGTGAAAATACACTACATAATTAACTGCTTTCATCATGCAATAGAGGATATGTGTGCTAAGTACAGTACTAGTAAATTAATCATGCAATTTATTATTAAAAGCTTGATGTTATGTTGCTACATGTATAATACACCTGAGGACAGACTTTTCTGTGTCAATAGTTATAAAAGCATCAACAGCATGAGTTTATTTTTTAGAATAAGAAAAAATTTGTCCCATAAGAGTAGACTTTTTGAGTCTCGCATACATGTGACTGTGTAGTATCCTGTCTTCTTTTTATAGTCAGGATTCACTCCTCTCATGAGAGCAGCTGTTAATGGAAGCTCACAGTCATTGATAATCCTCCTTCAGAATGGAGCAAATGCGACTGCAATTAACAATGTAAGTACTAAAAGAATGTAAAACGTACATTAAGGGGCTTAGCCCCCGAGCCAAGCTATTGTTGTGCTATGTGACCCCTAAACCCTAAACCCTTCCTTGCTGCTATAGAGAAGTTTTTGGACAGCAGTTTAGAGTAAATGAGCTGATAGCCGCCATTTTATTTATTTTAAGCACACCCACTTTCAATTAGTGATAAGCAATTCTGAATCCGAAGTATTTGATCCTTCGATTCCAAATGGAATTGTACGAAGAGACTTGGGAATCATTTGAAACGATTCCGAATTAAGCTACACCCAGCCACACCCTTCAATATTACTAATAATTAATAAACACATTTATTTTGCTGTAAAAGATGACACATGCATGTTTTGCGCATGTGCAGATGCAGTACTCAAAATCAGTATTCGGTTCCATCGATTCCAGTCTCAAAAGTATTTGGAATCAGAATCAATTGCAAATTTCTGGACTTGCCCATTATGAAGATTAGACTATTTAACTTTACTACTAGTTAGACGACCAGTCAGCTCATATGCTTCAATCATCTTAGTGGGCTTCACCCAATAAAGCAAATGCACATTCATGTATACAACATGTAGATTTGAGTGTTGCATTACGTGTGATCAAATTAAGTTAGCATTATAGTTTATAGAATGACAATTAAAGTTTTAGAATATCATGTTAATCATCAATGTTTACCTTGTATATAGGATGGTAAGACTGCTCTTGATAGGGCGGAGCTACATGGTCATACTGTTGTAGTTCACAAACTGAGAGAACATGCAGGTAATGCTTTTATTGATACATGCATGGTAATTCCACTCATGTCATTATATAAAACCTCGAGTATCCAGACTTATATTGTGAGTATAGTCTAATTCACACCCCTGCATAGTAAAACTTAGTTCAGAAACTGAATTTACTGATAATGAAAATTAAGCCCAGATAATTGAAGTGAGCTTATAAGCTTTAATCAAGACATAAGGATTAAGGAGGCTAATCAGTTCCAAGCCTTGTAAGTTGTTACTTGAAGAATGCCAATAGTCTTCTACATTATACTGCTAAACAACTTAGTACCATAACAAAAAAGTTTGAATAATCGAGGTTATACTGTACTTATTTAGTATTTTATTGCCATTAAACAGCTTGAGTCATGAGCTATTATTTAATATTTATAAATTTTGTTGTGCCCATCATTGCATCAGCTTATGATCATTATTATACCAATTAAGTTTATTTTAAATGGTTTTTATATTTTTTAATAATTGCAAGCAAAATAATAATTAATTTTAAATGCGTGATGAAACATGAGTATGTCATTAATTTTCCTCATGAACATAAGCTAGTCGGTTTGAAT